GCGTTTGCACGTATGTGAGTCCGGGTGGTTCTGTAAAATATGCACAATATATTTCTCATTGTGGCCACGGTAAAGGTATGAAAAATACTAGCTTGGAGAATCTCTTGTTAAGCACTCACTATTTTAAAGATTATATTCTTGAAAGAAGCAGAAGTTTCCCGTGTTGGATTGTTACCAGATACTTTTCTTAGAAAAAAGGTAGAGTGGGGTTGGATGGGAAAAAGAAAAAACCCAAGACAAAAGAAAAGGCATCTAAACATCTGTCCACAATGAAATGGATACTTCTACTGTATCCTGTACTGACTACTGTAGCTGACTTTCACAAATAATGAACGATGTACCTTCTCCAGGGCCAGCTTCTTCCAGCTCTAGATGTTCAGGCATTCTGGTCATTATTCATCAGTTCAATTAAAAACAAGCCCAGTGTAAAATAACGGCAAGAACTCTGAATTCTGTAGACCAAATTATCTTTCTTCATTCCCCACTTACTGGAATGACATCATTTTTTAAACTTTGCCTTTTGTAGATTTTTTTTTTTTTCATTTTTCCAAGGCACTCATTTTAAAACGGCCTCCGCACAATTCCTGATTCATTATGAATTGTTTTTCAGCCAGTGGGTTTCCGAGACATTGCCCCCAAGGGGATTTTAAAAGCTGAGTTTGCAGCCGGCTCAAAGCCAGACATTTGTAACTAGATACGAAAGCATGAATCTATTCTCCATGATGTCCTTGAGAACTAAAAATGTTTCAGATGAAAGTTAAGACCCAGGTGTGCAGGCCTGTGTCTTCTCTGATTTTTGGAGTAGGGGGTGGTTGATGGTGGCTCCCAGGGACTGAGAAGAGGGGACAATGGGGACTTGCTGTTTAATGGGTGTAAAGTTTCAGTCATGCAAAGTAAGAGTTTCTGGAGATCTGCTGGACAACAGAGCTCATGGTGAACAGTGTGGATTAGACATGTAAAAATTTAACAGGGTAGATCTCATGTTGTGGTTTTTATCAGAATTTTAAAAACTGAATTGTAGCTTTACATGTGTAGAAAATGGTCTCTTTCATGGACTTCTCAAAGGCAGCTTGCCTAGTAAAATAAATTTGCAAGGCCAGACATGGTGGCTCTTGAGAGCCTGTAATCCCAACACTTTGGGAGGCCGAGGCAGAAGGATCACTCAAGCCCAGGAGTTTGAGACCAACCTGGGCAACATAGCAAGATCCTGTCTCTACAGAAAAATGTAAAAATTAGTTAGGCATGGTGGGGGTGCATCTGTAGTCCCAGCTACTTTGGAGGTTGAGATGGGAGGACGGCTTGAGCCTAGGAGGTCGAGGCTGCAGTGAGCTGTGATCGTGCCATTGCACTCCAGCCTTGACAACAGAATGAGACCCTGTCTCAACAAAAATAATACAATAAATTTGCAACAGATGAATGGATAAAGAAAATATGGCAGCATATATATGCCATGGAATACCATTCAGCCATTAATAAAGAATGAAATCCTGTCATTCTCATCAACATGGATGAAACTGGAGGACATTATGTTACGTGAAATAAGCAGAACTGGAAAGGCAAATATCACAGGTTCTCACTCACATGGGAGCTAAAAGTAGCTCTTACAGAAATAAAAAGTAGAACAGAGGATACTAGCGGCTGGCAAGGGTGGGGGGATGAGGAGATAGAGAGAGGTTTTTTTTTTTTTTTTTTGAGACGGAGTCTCGTTCTGTCGACCAGGTTGGAGTGCAATGGAGCGATCTCGGCTCACTGCAACCTCCGCCTCCCAGGTTCAAGCAATCCTCCTGCCTCAGCCGCCTGAGCAGCTGGGATTACAGGTGTGTGCCACTATTCCCAGCTAATTTTCGTATTTTTAGTAGAGACAAGGTTTCACCATGTTGGTCAAGCTGGTCTCGAACTCTTGATCTCATGATCCACCTGCCTGAGCCTCCCAAAGTGCTGGGATTACAGGCGTGAGCCACCCTGCCCGGCCGAGATTTCTTAAAGGATACAAAATTACAGCTAGACAGGAGGAGTACCTTCTGGTGTTCTATAGCCCTGTAGAATAACTATAGTTAACAATAATATACAGTTCCAAATCTAGGAGGATATTAAATGTTCCCAACACAAAGAAATGATGCCTGATTGAGATGCCTGACGGATTTGCTAATTACCATGATCGGATCACTGTACATTATGTTTACTCAAACATTGGTATGTACCCCAAAAATATGTACAAGTATTATTTGTCAATAAAAATGTAAATTAAAAATCTTTTTAAAAAATTTGATCCACAGAAGGGTTGATGGACTAGTTTTAGTACATCATGGTTTTCTGCCTTATAACAAAACATCGAATTTCCGGTTCCCTCATCAATACACTCACGGCAGGTCTTCAGCATTTGACGGTGTTAACTCGCATCCAATATTTTTATCGGAAAATACAGAATGCTGTTCTTTGTTTAATAAACGTCTAAGTGCCGGGCGCGGTGGCTCACGCCTGTAATCCCAGCTCTCAGGGAGGCAGAGGCAGGAGGATAGCTTGAGCCCAGGAGTTCGAGACCTGCCTGGGTAATATA